TTTTTCTAATCCGAAAACTAAAAGTTACGAAAAAGCACTTAGGCCTTCATTAAGTTCCACTTTCACGCGACGTTCAATGTTTCGCGGTTTGCTCTTTACGCATTGTTCAGGCTATCATAACAAGCTATGACCGACGTGACGATTGCTTAAGCCCTGGTTAAACAAGTAAACAAGTTATTAAAATGAAATCATGTTCCCGAAAGCAGTCAACAATGTATCTTAAACCGGATCAAGCGTGCGCCCTATTTTTCTAAACATTCTGACGCGTTCCGCCCAATATCTATCAATTACGTTTTTCTACAATAGTAGTCTGGGATAAATCCTAATTCGACCGACACGTGTTTGTTGAAAAATTATATTCTGCCTAATATCAGTAGTCAGTAGTCATTAGGAAACCTGTTTCTATATTACTTCACGGGGCGAAGGGCGTTGTTGTTAGTAACAAGTATGAATTAGATTTGAATTCATTTTGGAAAATAATGCGATCTCTAAAAACACCGTATCGTTTCGCCCGAATTATATCATTAACGGTTTTCTATAATACAGACCCAGGATTGATCAACTCAATAATGCAAATAGGCTTGAGTGCTAACCCATAATCTTCTGCTCAGTAAGCAAAAACGCCTACAATAGGACTACAATAGATCAATTTACTGGTCGCAGTAGTGTTTGGTCCCGAACAGAGAAGCAAAAACGCTACGAAAGACGATATTTGAAGTCCGGATAAAAAGCTATTTGAATAAAATGACGTTTCCGAAAGCAGTTAACAATGCTTTTCAAACCAGAGTTCTATCTGTAACGATTTTCTAAAATAACGGCCTGGGATAGATATATAATATCTTAATATCTTAATATCTTTCCCTCCCTCTTTTCCCAGCCTCAAGCATCTGTTTGAATATCCTACCCTAGCTAAGGAGCTGTTCATTTTCGATTTTTAGAGGTTTTAGACCCTCCCCCTCTCCCGGCGTAGACAATCGACCATACATTTTTTTTGAAAATTTGTATGGACAGTAGACATTTGTTAACACCCCCGCCCCCTGTAAAGAGTCTACTTAGTTTATGAACAGCCCCTAAGTATATGAAAAAAAAAACAATTAAACATGAGTGAACTCACCAATTTAGTTGACTGCTGGATGCAACTTGTCCGTAAACTTCACGTGGAATTCAAAACCTTTGCTGCACATGATTCGATAATGATCACAATTTATCATCAACAAATAAACAAATTTCGCGTTTTTCACACTGAATTTTCACCACAACATTCGTAAAATTATGTCGTTTTCGTTTTTACTACACTACACCGGTGTAGTGTAAGCAGCAATAAGCGCGAGTCATTGACAGTTTATCATCATTTGTTTGTAAACAAAGGTGCAACCGATAGCTACACCCTACAAATTTTCGGTGTTCGGCGGTGTAGCACCGGTGTAGCTACACCGCAAAAACGAAAACGACATTAGTGAAAGGGAAGCCGCTGTAAAAACAAAACACGTCAGTTTTACAGCGCGACCTGCTTCGATCTCATTTGTTTGCTGAGATTCTGCTAAGCATTAACCAAGACTCAGCAATCATTTTTTTTTTTAAGCATTCTTAGATGTAAACTTGGGATGTCATTGTCGAGGATGTGAGGAATGGTTCCGTTTTCCGGCCACAACTACAAATCATGGCCTTCTTCGCAAATTTGTCGGCAATCATGAATTTGAATCTTCCTGGCACATCTCCACGTCCAGTCGCGATGAAAAAATTTGACCGGGAAGATGCTTAAAATCGACTTTGACGTATGTTTCGTCATCGATCAAAGTGCAGCCCTTGTTTTTCGTCAAAACACGGCCGTACAAGAGCCTTGCACACTTTTTGGCCACCGAATTCTGCTTCATGTGCCGGTTCGGATGTTTACTAGCTTTTTACGACTTGTTTCCTTGCCTGGCAAGGATGTTCCGCACCGTTTGAAAGTTGGCGTTGTACCTTCTGACCACATCTCGGATTGAAAACCCGGGCTTGGCTTTAACCGAAGACAACAAATCAAGAAAACTGGCAACTTTGTCAGAATCCAACCGACAGATACAGTAGCGCTGCGCTTGAGTGAAGGTGGAAGCAACGCATAGAAAAATGAGCAAATACACAAACCCTTCGTCTGAGGATGTAATCTTTGCTATCAAATTCGTTTGAAGCATTTACCTTTGAGCGGCAGATGACGCGATTGTACCTGTCTCATAGCGTTTGTATGAGAAAATGGAAGAGTTGCCAGTCTTCTTGATTTGTTGTCTTCACTTTAACGCACCTCAACACTTTGCTGCACAGCTGACGATCGCTGGTTCCAGTTTTTCCGTAGATACGCTGATTCCTTTCCACACTCAGGGTTTCCTTGTAGGTTTTGAGCTGTTGTTTTCGGCATCTTCAGCACTTTAGTCAGCTTGTAACCGAACCACTCCGGATTTTCCAGGTGTTTGCGCACAATATTTTTTTTTTGAGTTCAATTTGTCGTTATTTCTGCACTCGATTGACTACTTTGTTCAAACTTGCACCAGTTGTTCTCTACATATAGAAGTGTAACCACTGTCAAAGATTTTCGATTCCCAACACTAGAGGCGTGCTAGCGGCACGCGAGGGGCGTACCAATTTACTTTGAGTCAGCCTTTAGATGAGATGAGATGAAGAATAGTAGAATCCAACTGCAATTTATGCGTCACTAGTGGCGGGAAATAGTACTAGTCGATGGTGATAAATTTATGACAGCCGGCTCAAATTCCAAAGTTTGAATGATAAATTATTGAAACAAAAGTTGAAAATAGTGAGATACCAACATTATTATGGACGATACATGTAGGAAATTTGTCAAATAATTTAATTTTATGTTAATTTTCATGGCAATGTCATTGAAAGATAATGAAAATGCTTTTTTTGATGCACAGATATTATTTAGGTTATATTTGTATGACTGCAGATTCTCATCCCGAAATCGACGTTCAAGTCAGTCTGCTGGATATACTGGATTATGTTGGGGACTCGGTGCCAGTGGATTTAGAGACCTAGCATATTGTGTGCTTGGGCAATACCAGTAGATCAACCTGTTTTCCTATAATTTTACAAGCTTTATGATCACCAACAACGTTAAAAACAAGACAAATTTTCAATTTAAAAGTGAAAACTCTGATCTCAGTTACGTTTGACAGATGTTTACATTTTTATCACTACAATAGCGCCATGGGTGGCCGGTGGTTGGTCGGATTTCACTATTAGGAAAGGCTTCGATAAAAATAAGAAATCTTTAATTATTGAACGTTCACCAAATTGTAGAATATTAAAATCCTTTTCATGCTAAAAACACGCAACATCTTTATTATGTTTATTGAAAATTTTAATTAATTAGGGATACTATAGATGTTTTATAGTTTAGATTTGTTCAATCGTCGGAGTCACAAAATATTGTAAAATTTACTTAATGCCAATCGTTACGAGTTGATTATATGAACAACATTAAAAGGACTATTATTGCAAGGTTATGATCCTTTTATAAGTCTTGGTTTAAAAAGTTACTCTTGTTTGAAGCAGTGGCCACCTTCCAGTCCTGATATTGTAACTTCAATTAAATTGTTACGTTGCAACGTTTTCGGGAAAACTTTAAAAACTGGCTGAGATCCATCATGCCAAATGGAGCCATTAACCTAAGAATCTACACACTTGTCCACAACTTCAAACCCATAACTAACATTAATTAACTCTTAACTCCATTGCAATGCACTTCCCATAAAAGCATAAAAGCCCCATATGGATTTGTTGAAGAAATGAGCTTTCCATTAGGATGAATTGTAAACTACCGATATTTTACACTGTGCACTAAAATTTACATGTTGTGTTCAAGAAATATCGTTAAAGAATTCCAAAACTAGGTTTTCCCATCCATAAGAGTCTACGGAGACATAATTTTTTAGCAACGTTTTACTCGGCTTGCTGTTTTTTCTCTCCAGATGGGACTGATATGCATTTATGGGCAGGCTCCAATAATGTGGGAAGCCTTTCCGCCCAGAGCTCGTCGTTGCCGCCAACTATGGCATACATATAAATTTCGGGGTCAAGTACATGAGCATTCATTAAAATAACTTTTCATTATTCAACACCTATTCCTAGCTGTGAGTGAGTGTGTGTGTGTGTGTGTGTGAGCGTATGTGTGCGCAAGAGCGAAGGCGAAGAAGTATGCAGAATCATTGCAGTGCTGATTTAAAACTTCTGCTCCCCCCCTTTGTGAAACGGAAGGGGACAAAAGCGCCGCTCAGGGTGTGATGGCAAAGAGTGCTGCCTCTGTCGGTAGGATAACTATTTTACAAAAAAATTATAATGCAAAAAGTGCAAAAGATAGAAAGGGAAACAGGTCGAGGTGCAAAATGTAATCCACACCAGAGTTGAAACTAACTCCATTTGCCATGCGACCGAGTCGTACCAACCAACAACGACGGCATCCTTCTTCCCAAGAACACATGCATAGGGTAGGTACCTACTACCAGCTTAATACCGTTGCGATGGAACGTTATGCGATTTTAATTTACTTTCCTGAGCGATGAGCTCTTGTGTAACCGCACCATCCGGCAACTGGGCTCCCAACTCGGGATTGAGTGGGATGAAAAAGTGCACTCCGAGGAAATCACACCTCCGCTGACCGAGCCAAGCTCCGACATAAAATCTCCAATCCCTATGCCCTCTGTAACACTAAACACACTCTGCCGATCCCGAGCAAGAACCGATAACTAACCGATAACATATAAATATCTTAAGGTGGTATGACACCTTGTTTTAATCGTGATCTTTCGGTTTCCTGTAGAACAATTTTGGTATTTTACCTCTTATGCCAGGCTCGTCAATACTTCTATTTAGGTTGCCAGGTTTGCCGTTATCATTCCTGAATTTGTTATTAATAAGTTACTTTCTCCTGCTCGGGATGGCGCAGCTTGCGATGTATTTGTCATGAACTAAGTTTCGATTTATTTATTTTTTCGTCTCGTTTTCAGATACGGAAGTCCACACCACAGCCGGTCCCAATCGGTCAAAACACCCGGCAGTCGAGCATCGGGCCGTCCCAATCAGCTTTGCCTGCCACAGCAACGATCCAGGTTGGTATTTGTAATTAATCCTACTACTGTGCTGTGGGTTGGGAGGGGCGTGGCGATGGGTGATAGGGAGAATGTTTGGAATTCAATGGGCATTTCATGTAGGCGACGTACGCGACGACGGACGTAACCAATCGTAATATGGGTATTGAATGTTTCGAATGGTTTCGAACGGCTATCGGAAGCTGTTCAATGGATTCTGGGAATTCCGTGTGTAGTAGGAAAAACGGAAGGATTCCATTCCTGGTGGGTCGTTCTTCAAAAGTGATACATGTAACATGCATTTAGAAGGAGATTGTTTAATCAATCGAATAATAATTATTACTGAAATATCCATAAACCATCACCATTCATCTGTGGTGAGAACTGACCCTTCTTATTTATTTAAATTACGACGAAAGTTCGCATTCAGGAAAGAGAATTAAGCTAATTAAAAAAAATAATGTCAATCTGTTTTCCAAGCAAGTTATCCAATCTAGTTTTCCACCCTCGAAGCTAATCGAAATTCTAGTACTGCACTATGTTTGTTTTGATTCGCTATGAAAGTTTGACAGATAAATTGAGGGGTTCGTGGATTTTCCTATGTTTTAAGGGGTGCTTCGATTAGCTTGGAACCGAAGGTCTGGTACTTTCTGAGCCAAAAAGTTGAGCACGTTTCTTCGGGACCTTCTGGTCTTAGCGTTACCTCTATGCAGGGTTGCTTCCACTCACTTGCTATAAAAAAATGCTTTCCTAAATTTTGAAATCATTAGATGTTATAATGATATTTTGTACTTGTTAGATACAAGAAGAGGTTGAAAGGCAAGATTTTGACTAATAAAATCTGTCAATTTCGCTACCAGAGTTTTACAATCAGCGATCTTATGATTCGTGAGCGTTCACTCAGAGTGAGCGCTCGCGGGTCGTAAAATCGCTGATTGTGACTATCTGAAAGCAAATTTGACAGGTTTCATGTGTGAAACACTTGCCTTTCAACCTCTTCTTGTATCTAATAAGTACAAAATATGATTATAACATCTAATGATTTTAAAATTCAGAAAATCATGTTTTTATAGCAAGTGAGTGAAAGCAAGCCTGCTCTATGCTATTACTATTTAAATACTCCAACAGCTGGCCTTTCACAACTAGTTCTAATATTTTTTTCTAATGTGTGCAACATGTTGATGGGACGAAACCAGGCCAGTGACAAGGCCTATACCGACAGCCAGTGTTTGACAGTAGGCAGAATGTCCCGGGCTCAAATCATTTATTTTTCTGTGGTGGGCCAGCTGTCACTTTCACGAACGTGATCCTATAGCCCCGTGTTTTTTTTTCCAAAAATGTTAGGAATTGTGATATAAGAAAGGATTTGGGGTCATGACATAAACATGGACCTGGATGGCAATTGAACCGTCCTCGGAAAAATCCGGAACATTCGTAAAAGTGGTCAATCCACGAAACTGATCCTAGAGCTTCGCGGTTTTTTTTTTTTGAAAACATTAGGAACTGTGATATAAGATAGAATTTGGGGTCGTGACATAAAAATGGACCCATGGCCATCGAACCATCCTCCGGAAGATCCGGAACCTCCACAGGATCCTGATCCAATAACTGTGATATTAGAAAGAATTTGGGGTCGTGACATAAACATTGACCCGAATGACCATGGGACTGTCCTCCGGAAGATCCGAAAAAGTGGTCCATCCATCAAACTGATCCTAAAGCACCGCAGTTTTTTTTTTTTCAAAAATATTAGGAACTGTGATATAAGAATGAATTTGGGGTCGTGACATAAGCATGACCCGGATGGCTATGGGCATCAGCCAATCAACGATCTTGTTTATATGAAATTCCTCGACATGTTTGTAAACAAAGTGTTCAGCATCAGCTGAGGATTTCAACATGGCTGAAGCTTAGCCACAAATCTTGAATTGAACCAGCTAACTTTAACTGTGTATGTATGTCCATGCACATTTAGCAATACAGTTGAATTCGTGAATCTGGTGGTATGGAGATCTAACCCTCACGTATATGTTGGTAGAGGGAAAAATTAAAACATTTCAGAAGACCATTAAAAAAACACGGAGCTCTAGAATCAGTTTCGTGGAATTAGAACTCTTATGGATGTTCCGGATCTCACGAAGGTTTGATAACGGATGGTTTCATAGCCATCCTGGACCATGTTTATGTCACTACACCAAATTATTTTTTATATCACAGTTCTTAATATTTTTTGAAAAAAAAAACTGCGGAGCTCTAGGATCAGTTTTATGGATTTACCACTTTTGCGGATATTCTGGATCTTCCAGAGGATGGTTCCATGGCCATCCAGGTCCAAGTTTTCGTCACGACCTATTTTCTATATCACAGTTCCAAGTGTTTAAAAAAACCCGCGGAGCTCTAGTATCAGTTTCATGGATTTACCACTTTTACGGATGCTCTGGATCTTCCGGAGGATGGTCCCATGGCCACTCAGGTCCATGTTTATGTCACGACCCCAAATTAATTCTTATATCACAGTTCCATGTGTTTTCGAAAAAAAAAACTGCGGAGCTCTAGGATCAGTTTCATGGATGGACCACTTTTACGGATGTTTCGAATTTTTCGGAGGATGACCTCATGGCCATCAGGACCATGTTTATGTCAAGACAGCAATTTATTTCTTATATCACAGTTCTATACAAGCAAATCTGGCGAACTTAGTCAGCTACTTATGGCTTTTGGCACGGTTGTGGCAAGCTCTTATTGCTTTTATTCTGCTGTTCAGTTGTGTATGAGAACTTGAAAGGCGCTTATACCACCTTTTCCCCATTATCCAATAAGCACTGCACAACTTGATCTTGAAGCTGGGGTAAATATTGTTTACTTTTTTTTTGATGAGGGAAATTTATTGATTTTATTTAGCTGCGAATCAAATTACTCGAAATTAGTTATAAAGCACACCACCTAATCATTACCCTGCACCGGAACCTGGACTCAAACTCAAGACGATCGCATTGGCAAACCTTGACACTATCAACTTCGCTACGCCAACTTTGAACTGACATAAACAAATCTACATGCCCTTCTACAACAAGATCGCTGAGTAGAGGCTTTCCAACAGACAATCGCCTGATGAAGAAACGACTTTTTGATCATGTTATTCAACTGCATGCTTAATAATACTTGTACTATTTTAAATAATAACTTCTGTTCAGGCTTTGTTCACACAAATCTGGAGATTTTTTTCGACCACAACATTGAACTAATTGGTGTTGATATAAGGTATGTTGAGAAGCTTTTATTCGACTTACATGAGTTGTAACAGAGCTGTATTAGATCAATTTTTTTGATTATCCAGCGTTTATTAGACATCATTGCTTCCTTAAACAGCGATGATATAAAGGTGTTAATTCGCTTGAATCTCATGTATTGATAGATCAGACACTATTATACATTTATCAAACGATTATTCAACTACGGGATATTTAATCCGAAAATAAGAACGGGAGAAGGAGCAGGGTTGTTGTATTTCTCTCTCTCTCTCTCTATCTCTCTTTAGTGATTTCTGTCATTATTTCTGTAGACACATACACATGTCGTTCCATGAGCTTCGAACCATGACCTTCGGATCACCAGCCGCTTGCCTTGCCATCTGAGCTATTCTATAATACATCATGTAGGCAGCTAAATAATCAATCAAAGCTTGAATCTGAATACCTGCACCTGCACACTCCCGGTTGCAACTCTAGCTACTTCAAGGAGTTGTGGGAATGATTAATTCATTCATCGTTGTTTTTCATGAGACCAATGTTACCTCTTCACCTCTCCAATTTCTGCGGAAAGGATGCTGGGCTATTATTTTTATTAGATCGAAAAATTCGTTGCCGAGATGTGATGTGATCGATGATTACGATTTAAATTAATTAGGCATAGCACACAATAAAAAAAAAAAACGGTTGTGGTTAGGAATGAACTCACGACCTTTTACTTGGAAAGCGGAAACGGTAACCGCTATGCTATCAATGTCATCTTCTTGTTAGCCTAAAACAGTGTTGTGGAATAATTAATGAATATGTCGTTTATAAAGCATTTACAAAGCATGCCGTTAAAACATGGATGCATAGTGGTATAAGAGCAATTATGCTGACTGTATCCAGCAATATTGTAAAGCAATGAAATAAAATCTAATAATAGAGCTATAAAACAATTATTATACGTCTAATAAAGCATGTCAATTGAAAACAGTCGAATTAAAGTGTCAATGTATGTGCAAATTACACTTATTCAGTTTGTTACTGAGGTTAAGACAGCTTTCGATCATGAGTAAACTAGGAGTTAATTTTAAGTAACTCTGAGTAACTCGCGTTGCTCAATATATTATACACATAGCAACCTGATTGTTATATTGAAAACAATGTTGAAACCGATGCTGTCACGCAAAGTGCTTTCCAGTTTTCAATGATGAACCTCTATATAAGTATCAATTAAAAATGGAAACTTATAATCTATTCCAAATATTGAACTGTTCAACATAAGAACGGTGGTATTCGTACTATGTTTATTAATTCAGATATTATCCTAATTCTCCGAAAGTGCAGAATATTAAATTGTCATTCCACTTACGCAGGATTACTTTTGGGGAAAAATCCAAAGAGACGTTGGAAATGTAGCAGCGAGTATTTGCAGAACGTCGCCTGATCTTTGGCATCAGCAGCAAGGTACCAGTGGAACGTGCCGAAGAAAATCCCACACCAACAGTATATTGCCCAATAAAAACTAACCTATACATCAAAATAGACAGTCTTTTCACAATAAATATCATAGTTTCCCCGCCAATCCATATATTTCAGTTCATACTCCGCAATAATCTCTAGTCAGGTGACCGTAAACTGCACATCTTGTCCACGGAGTCCCTTGGACTACCAAGTAATAAGGGTAATAAACCGACCCTGAGCCCCAACTCGAGGAGTTTTTTACTACTGCACCTGCCGGTACAAACGAATAGCTATTGAAACTTTTGAACATAGTTGTACTTGTGACAA